AAGTAGGTGCTTTAGACCACTGAGCCATCTCTCCAGCCCCCTGAAGAGCTTTTGAACTGAGCTGAATAAATACTTATTTTGAGACAGAGTTTTGCTAAGTTGTTCAGGCTGAGTTTGAACTTGCAGTCCTCCTGCCTCAGATTCCCAGATTTCTCAGATTATAGACATGTATGGTCATGTTTGGCTCAGATTCAACTTTTGTGACAAGAATGCTTTTTAGGTATTACTTTATACTTCTTGTTGCATCAGAAGAAATGCCAAGTGTGGTCTAACCAACTTTGGGTGCTATATAAATGTTTTTGTTTTTGTTTTTGGCAGAACCAGGGATTGAACTCAGGCCCTTGCATTTGCCAGGGAAGTGCTTATTCCACTGAGCCATCTCCCTGGCCCCTATATAAATGTTGAGTGGGTTGATGAGAGGTGGGAGTAGGTGAGCCAGGTTCATCTTTTATGAGGCTTCCTATTAGTATTTGGGTGAAGATTTATCCATTGATGGTCATTACCTATTCATTTTTAAAATATTTCATCTGAACTAAATTTTTTAGCTGAATTCTATAAGGACCTTATCTAAATTGGGAGAGGTCATAACTGCTTATTGGGATCACTTTAAGAACTAAAAAAAGAAAGATAAAAAGAAGGTAACCTCCATTTAGAGTGATCTGGCCAGAAAAGGATTGCTGATGCAGGAGAAGAGGAAGTGAGTTGTTGGGATGATATTCTGTGTAGAGGAAGGTAGTTGGCAATGGAAGAGAGCGGGAGGCCCAATGCATAGGGCTTGTTACTGGTGCCAGGTCCATGACTAGAGAAGACAGACGCAGGTGCTCAGTGGATGGGAAGCTGCTCTATTATCTTTTATATTCCCAGGGAAATCAGAAAGATGGCTGTGGCTGGCTTGGGGGAAAATTAAAGGAGAGTACAAACGGTTGTCTGGAAGAGGAGTGTGAGTAGCATGAGAAATACAGACTGGCTGGACAATAGGGATCTGCCTAAAGTTGGTCATGTATTTAGTTTTTCAAGCAAAACTATTCATGATTCACTGATTGTGTCAGTGCTGGTACAGCGTAAGCAGGAAGGTTCTTTACCAGCGTTGAGAGAGGGGCTAAGGGAACAGAAGGGTATAAGAAGTTAAGTATAAATAAAGGAAAACCAATAAGTTAAGTTAGATCAAGAGACTGGAAGTCCAGTGGAGTAAGATACTTTCTGAAGACCACAGATAATGGTAAGGATGAG